TTTAAAGTTGGAAATGGCTTTTGTGGCGATTTTTTTATTAGTGGAACGGTTAGTTCTAAAAACGTAAAACATATAAAATAAGTTACCCGTGAAATTAATTCAAATCAACTATTCAGACGAATTCCTGTCCATGGAATCGTTGATCACAGTTCTTCAAGTCTCCTGTCTTCATATATTTTTTTGTTAAACAGGTGCCAATTTCAATTACGACAACTACGTTATGTTTGTATGACTTAAGGTTGTTACTAGAGCTAATTGCGTATATATTATGCATTGTTTCCGGTTAGTCGTAATACCTTACCCTTTATACTCTTGATTGGCTATATGCTTGGAAACACCTAGTTAATCCTTGAGTCACAACATGAGAAAAGGGAAACCAGAAAGATTTACGGCACTTTTCAAATTACTGTGAACAGCAAATTTCAAGCATTACATTACATAGGAATTTGAGAATTAAGAATTTAAATCCCACGCTAAAATAAAATTTATAATTGACTAAAAATTATATTATTGCGGTTTGCAATTTTTACATCAACATCGGAGTAATTTTAAAAAGTCAATAATCATATTTATTTATTTTTTATCTGTAAATTTCACAAAATTTTGCAAACCGCAATAATTCAATTTTACATTCGATTTTTCTATTGATTAATATCGGCTATGTTTTTTCTTAATTCAAATGAAGATTAAACAACAACAACTTAGTTAATTTCAATGTTTGAGACTGTTTCCGAATGCTGTTTGTAACTGAAACTGAGAATATTATCGAGATAACCTTTGTGTAATTTGTAAAAAAAAATGCAAATAAAAGAAGTTGAAATTTTATTACTAATTTGTTAACAAAAACCACAAGAACTAATATTGCCAGTGGATTTATATTAGGAAATTGGTATGCAGTAGGAATCTTTTGAATTTGACTTTTTAATCGTAAATTATAAAAATGAATATTGAATTCTTATGATTAAGTAATTGTTATCATTAATTGAATATTGGTTTCATTGTTATTATAAACACATGCCCAATTTAAATTTCAATTTTCAGGAGCACTCGAGAAAGATGGCAACGTGAAATACGTGAGTTCCTTAGAAAGTAATTGAGCCAGTCCCATGTACCATGCACCAGATGCTACCAAAACTTTAAAAGAAAAAATTATCGAATAATGTGAAATTATTTTAAATGATATTTATTTTAAATAATTTGATTTTATGAAAATCATTTACCTCCAAGAGATCCACCAACGCGAGTCCAAGCACCAATACCCGTATAATTAGCAATAACGAGAGCGATAAATTCAAGTACTACAAAAATGAATGTTAAAGTGGCGACATATGTAGTCTTTAAGGACGCAATTAACATGAAAAATGAGACTATGGTATTTAAAAAAAGTCGATATTTTAGTAAATGAATAGCAAATTTTGTAAAATTAAAGGATTAAATGCAGTATATGTGAATAACACTATTGTTTAGTGTCGGAACTTAATAATAATAGATAAGGGTTGATTGGCGGATATTTTAAATAATCACAAGTTGATGCTCTATAACAAATGGAATTGTATCTATAAACTAGCTGATCGCACTTAGCCTTAACTTCTGATAATAAGAAAAAGGTTCTATGAAGTATATTGTTAATATCAAGTATAATATATGGGACCTCACTATAAATCAATTGATTAAAATAACTAATTTATTAATGGGTCCCTATACTGTACTATACTATACTTGATTAGATTCGGACCTTGGAAAAGCGGATTGACTAAATTGGTACGTAATCCGAATTATCCGGGCAAGTACAGTAATACACTAATGGTTAGTATAATATTAACCCAACCATTGTTATTAAGGATAGTCATACAATTATCTACGTATGTACGGTTATGTAAATAAAAGGACAGCAAAAGAAAGTGCAAATTTATTTAAATCAGGTGACGTTTATGACCTGAATATTCGTATGCACGTTTAATTCATAAACATCATCTGATTTAAATCAATAAAAATCATATTATTGCCATCTCTAGTGATACTAAGTGGTGTTCGACAAATACTGCATTTTATCGAAATTAACTGAATACTAACAAACAGTCCAAGGTATAAGATAGATGCTAACAGCTTTTCCAAACATCGCTTGATCTCCATTATATGAAGCAATAATCCCAGCATTTGGAAAATAAATAATACCAAAAGAAATCCAAAAAGCACCTTATAATAAAAAAAAATAATAGATTAATTAACGAATTTCAAATAATATAATATCAAGATTTTTTTTTTAATTTTCAGAAATACCGTAAGTGCAAGAAACTGTTGCAGGAAAAGTTTTTCCAGAGTATATTTCCCACATTCCGGCAAGAATTTGGAGACCACCACCATAAACTAATGCTACCCCAAGTCCAGCATTGCTATTTGTTATGTTTCCTACTTGAATAAGATATAGTGCATACATGAAAGTGGTGCATCCAAAAGCAAACAAACCTAATAACGTGCAAATAATTCATTAAATTAAAATATAAAAGAGAATTGAAAATAAAATTCATGAAAACAAAATTTTACCCATTGGACTTGAATTGCCAACTTCCCTTGGCTTCATAACGTGTTCATCATTTGTACCATCTTCAAGTTTCATTTGGGCTTTTTTTTTTTTCTCAACAAACAAATGGAATGGCGAAAGAATTATTCGTTATGAAATATCAAAAAGTTAGAGGACTAAATTTATTTATTTATTTTGTTTTTGAATTTTTTACAACGAAAATCAATGCTATCTTGTTTATTCCATGTTTAGTTAAGGAAATAGTTATTTATCCACTTATTTTTTGATTTACCATCATACGATCCCTTCCCTATAATCTAGTCTATAGTCAGTATGAATATATAATACTTTTTGATGTTTTTATTTTAGATTTATAATATTGTTCAAGCGTGAACATTTTTGCGTGTTATGATCTCCCAATAATACTTGATAAATAAGCGTACAATCTAATGTAAAGATTTTCATGTGCAGGAGAATAGTTTGCATTTTTGTACATTTGGAAGAAAAGATTTCTATGTTATCATTATGAATTGGTAAAAAAGGGTTGAACTACTCGGACCTTGTAACTTATTTGTCAAGAAAAAAAAATGGAATGCACTTTTAAGGTAATTTTAAATTGTAAATCTTTGGAAATCAGTGTTATACAGAAAATTGTACTATATTAAATGAGTTTAAAATAGGTAAGATATCAAAATTGCTGCAGTAATTCGTCCAAACTTAGGTATATTCAGTACATTTAGAGGCAGAACGAAATGGAAACGTTTATTTATATTAAGATTTTAACGATAATGCAATTCACAAGGGCTTATTATTTAAATTTCCGAATGACATCGTGCCTGACAAAATTGACGAATTGGTTTTGTTTAACATTAAAAGCTACCGCACTAAAACGAGAACGGGAATAATTTGAATGTCCAATAATCTCATGACTATTACTCTATATACACAGCTGGTTGCTCACGGTTCTCTGTACTACGACTTTTGAAGTTTTGACAAGCTTAGTTATATCACAAAAAGTGTAAGCCCCATGAATTCCAAACATTTCGGACTTAAATCAGACCGTACGAATCAATTTTTCTTGATATGAATATTTAATAAATTTATACTTAACAGTTAATTATTTAAAATATATATTTGATATTACTGTAATTAGGGGTTAGGATCTGTTCTGGTCCGGTCTTGGTTCAAAAGACCGGTCCAGTCAGCAGATCACGAATCGAACCAAGGCCCATGAACTGGTTCATTAAATCGGTCTGGTTCGGTTTGGTTCGGGATCAGACCGGTCCACCTTCAACTAATAAGATTGCATTATTTAGAAGATCATCTTTTTTTAAAATTAGCTCACCTCCATAATTTAGTAAGTTTTAGTTACTGTTATGGGTTTTTTTTTAAGTTTTTGAAAATGAGAATATGTGCAAAAATAGTATCGATCCAGATGTTTGAATAAAAATTCGAATTATATATGAATTACAAAAATTATGTAGATTTTTTGCATTTAACATATTGGACTTTATTGAAATCGCAAGATATTTAAATACCAAGTTGAGCAGTAATAACTTATGATCTGGTTTTTAATTCTGTTTATTACTTTGATTTTTACTCGTTCTGTGTAAATTAATTGAATCGGATATATCATTGGTTCAAAGAAATTTAATTCTGAATAAATTACATTATTTCAAGAATAATCTTTTTTTTTGTTTTGAACAGATAAACCGGCTACTATTAAATTTTGGGGTTTTTTTTACATGAAATTCTATACCATATAGCCATCAAGCTTGTTAAGTAAGATAGGAATTCTAATCTCGAAAATATTTTATTTAAATTGGCAAAAATAGGGATGTGTTCGGTTACGAACGGTTACGATTATTCATAGTCAATTTGCTAAATACTGAGATGATTTTTTATTTTTGAGCTATGAATAATTGTAACCGTTCATAACCGAACCCATCCCTAAGCAAAAACCTGTATTGCCTTTTCAACTTATAACTTTAATCGCTCGATTTAGTATCAAGGTCATATGTAGGACCAATTATGGTAAGTTTGCTTCGGTAAAAAAAAATTAAGTAACTCAGGCATTTTTTTTAAAAAAAAAAATTCAGTATCATTTAATTTATTACAGTCGGACCTCTCTATAATCACCAAGTCCGTCGCGCCCTATTTTGGTGATTGTATAGAGGTGTGACTATAAACA